CCTTACACCTAAACGAGCTAGAAAATGAAGAACAAACAAAGCCCAACACTAGTAGAATAAAGAAAATAATAAAGATCAAAGCAGAAGTAAATGAAATAAACACACACACACACAAACACACACACACACAAAACAATAGAAAAGATCAATGAAACCTGGAGCTAGTTCTTTGAAAAGATCAACAAGATTGATAAAACTTTAGCCAGACACATTAAGAAGAAAAAAAAGAGAGAGGACTCAAATAAAATCCGAAATGAAAAAGGGGAAATAACACCTAACACCACAGAAATACAAAGGATTATAGGGAGAATACCATAAAAAATTATATGCCAACAAATTGGACAACCTAGAAAAAATGGATAAATTCCTAGAAAGATAAAATCTTTCAAAACTGAATCAGGAAAAAATGGAAAAATTTAACAGACCAATTACTAGTAATGAAATTTAATTGGTAATCTAAAAACTCCCAAGTAACAAAAGTCCAGGACCAGATGGCTTCGCAGGTGAGTTAAATGATACATTTAAAGATTTAATATGTATTTTTCTTAAACTATTCCAAAAATAGAAGAGGAAGGAAAACTTCCAAATTCATTCTACAAGGCCAGCATTATCCATGTATCAGTATACTTTTGATATTAAAATGTTTTTTTTACCAAGTTTATTAGTCTTAGCCAGCTTGACTCACATAAAATTTCCTTCCCAAGATTCCCTTTTACAAACCTTCTACAACTTCCTTTTTCAAATCCAAATTTTGTCCTTTGTTTTCTCTCTTCCTTATTTTGAAATAACCAGCCTCGCTTTAGGACAAAATTGGTTTCCTTTCCCTCAACGAAAATGCATCTCCATTTCTCATATCTTCTTTTACCAAAAGCACACAGCCTAGTTTCCTTGTGAACGGAGTTGTTGCCTTTATTGTTTCTAGTAGCTTACGTATATTGAATTTTTAAACATTAAACACCTTAATTTCTAGTGAAAATAAAAAAGTAAATAATTGTTAGCTTTTACGTTGGTATTTTGTGGTTCGGCAAATTTAAAATACATTTCATACGACACCCAGAGACCAATTTGACAATAAATTTCATATTAAAAAAATAATGAAATAAAATACATTTCATAATTTGTAGCAATATATTCTTCCGCAGAGTAAATTTGTTAACATGGCATAAAACTTGTTTACTAATAGACCTCAATTTCTGGGCCAGTGTTTTGGTGATGGACCCCTCGGAGGGTATAATGAGGAAGGCCTAGGTATTGTTTTAGATACCTTTTGCATCTTTGTTTTTTCGTTGGCCTTTTGCAAGGAAAATTTTTTTAATATTTTCTTTATTTTTGAGAGAGAGAGAGAGAGAGAGAGAGAGAGAGAGAGAGAGAATCCAAAGCAGGTTCCAGGCTCCGAGCTGTCAGCACAGAGCCCAGTGCAGGACTTGAGCTCACAAACCATGAAATCATGATCTGAGCTGAAGTCAGACACTTAAGCAATTGAGCCACCCAGGTGCCCCTTGCAATGGAAATTTTAATGAAGCTGTTTTGGAATCTTAAAGCCTTTTGGAAGCTTTTACACACCAAATAAAATAAGTATCCCTTTCTGTTTGCTTGATTTGGAAACCCTTGTTTTTTGTTTTTTTTTTTTTTTTTAATTTTTTTTTTTTCAACGTTTATTTTTATTTTTGGGACAGAGAGAGACAGAGCATGAACGGGGGAGGAGCAGAGAGAGAGGGAGACACAGAATCGGAAACAGGCTCCAGGCTCTGAGCCATCAGCCCAGAGCCTGACGCGGGGCTCGAACTCACGGACCGCGAGATCGTGACCTGGCTGAAGTCGGACGCTTAACCGACTGCGCCACCCAGGCGCCCCGGAAACCCTTGTTTTTAAGTGCACTTCTTAAATAAATTATTTTGTCTCATTGGAATGTTCCCCATAATGGCCATTATAATTCTAGGTTGTCTTTAGTTAGATTTTGCCATTTTGTTAATATTTATAGTTTCTGGGAAATAGTTCTAAGACATAAAATAAGCAGGTGTGCCAGAAGGTGGCATGCTCAACTCTTTGGAATTTGAGGACCCCATTTTTTTTAAGCTAAGCTTTTGGGTCTCTTGGAGCCAAACTAATACCTATGGGGGATGTGCCACTGGGTTGGGGATTATGTGGTGTTTTACAGAGTACCTCTGTGCACAGACGTTTTCTTAAGTTGGTGAGTGACCTAGTGTCAATCTAATCCATTGCATGACCAACTTATCCTACCACAGGAGTCTTAGAGTTAGGTAACAGATGTTGTAACAGCTTTTACGTGCTCAACCCATGCCCACCAATTTTGTAGCTTTTGGCTTCCAATTTTCCATTAGCAACAGACTTTACCTACGCAAAGCAAGTAAAACAAAATTGTATTTTGGACACTGTGCGGTTTTTAAGTTGGATCCAGTCTGATTCCAGCCAATAACCACCAGCAATTACAAATGTGGAATTTGGGGACTGAACCAAGGGCTGGAGATTCCAATCATATGGGGAACTGTAGAAAGCTAATTAGATTGGGAACTTGACACAAAGAGAGTGGAACTCAGAACCACGAAAAACTTTCCTACAGTCCTCAGAAATGGCAGTAAAGACAGAATTCAAAGGGTTTGCAGGTACCATGCCTGTGTTTCTCATTGTCCCTGATGCCATCAGGAATGTACTTTGGATTCCATCATGGCTACCAATGCTCTTAAAAAACAAAACTCAATTGACTACATTTTAGAGTTCCTATTAGCTTTATTCAGTGTCTCACGAATCAAGCAGCATCCCATCTGGCAGATAGAAGAGAGCGCCAAAGAGCTGCACAAAATAACTTTCATAGGCAGACGGGGGTGGGATAAAGAGGTTTCTAGTAAAGAGTGGATTGTTTGTGTCAAGGTCACCTTCATTTAGGGGGGATGGCAGAAGTCTATGAGGCAGATTACCTCACTAGTGATGACCATGTCATTCCAGATTAAGATTCCACTCCTGGGAGAGGCTGAAATTGTATGGGCTTAGCACAAGTGATTCCATTTGGAGCCTATTGTCTCTGTTAACAGTGGCTGTGACCGAAACAGTATGGCCAACAAAGTAAAAAGTATTTACCATCTGGTGCTTTACCAAAAAAGGTTTGCCAACCCTTATCTAAAATATAGGTTACACACACACACACACACACACACACACGAAATCCCAACGTTTCAGTTGCCAAATTTAGAACTTACAAGGTAGCTGGAAGCAAAAGAGAATATGTAAATAGATAACTATAAAATAAAAATATGTATTAATGGAGTTTATATCACGGATTTTGATGTGTGAAATCTACCATTTTTAAGGCATTACCATGTTATTATCTGGACTCAGGAAGGAAAGCACACTCCAAACATAATAACCAAAACTATAAACTATTTGAATAATAAATAAACTAAAGATTCAATATTGAATTCAAGTCAACTATGTATATATAAAACAACTAGTCTCGAACTTTAGGTTGCAAGTCAAAATCCTAACTAAAGGCGTATCTGACATATAATGAAGCATTGCCCATTATTTAAAAAAGGTGCAGGATTATCTAACCTTCCTCTAAAATATTAGATGGCTGCATTAGCATCCTTGAGTTGTACTGGACAGTGCAAGAGTTCAGGAGAGAAACACAAGACATTTGAAAAAATAAAGTTATATATTGGAATTATGGGAAACCCACATTTGTTTATTCCTTTGTGCATCCTGATAAATATTTATTGAGCACTCGTAATATGCAAATGGACCTACCAAGTTCTGTGAGGGATGCAAATATTCTTATCTTGAAGGAATTTATCATCTTTGGGGAAAATAATACATGTGCACACCCATAATTATAATACAACTCGGAATCTGGTGAGTTCAGTAGGAGTACAGAGCTATATAGGAGACATTGGAAAGGGAGTCTAAGAAGAGAGAACATTATGAGCAAAGTTGAAAATAGGAAAATAAAAGGTATGTTTGGAAAATGTTGAGCATCCTATTGGCTATCATATAAGGTAGGAAAGGAAAGCAGTTTGGGGATTATAAGATAGAAAAATCCATTCGTGGAGCACATGAGGGGCTTACAGCCCTGTCAAGGATTTGTATTTTATGCAGTAGGAATATCATGGGAAAATCACTGATGACTGGTAGATATGGGGGTGATGAGAGTAAGCTGATGGTGCTCAAAAAGATAGGCAGCAGGTGAGGTGAGCCAGAGACCACAGAGGAACTGATTTCTAATCCAGGGTGACGCATTAAGATCCTACACTAGATGGATGGCAGATGGAATGGAAAGAAAGTCACAGAAAGGAGAAGCATTGTGAAGGGAAAAGAAACATAAGATTTGACAGCAAGCGAGATGGGACAACGTGAGAAAGAAGTAAGAATTAAACACTGAAATGAAGTTTTCTGACTTAAATGACAGGAAATAGCATAGTGCTGTCAACAGAAATAGAGAGTTCCAGAGAAGGAAATGGTCTGAGGGAAATAATAAAATCCACTATAAAAATGCTCAGCAGATTGAATTGTTGCAGGAAGTACATCCAGATGGAATATCTAAATAGGAAGTTGGACATGTGGGAGTTTTCGTTCAAAAGAAAGCTTAGGGGCTGAACAATTTGACGTGGAGGTCATCCATGGTCCCATATAATTTTCTAATTATCCTGTTCACTTTTACCCATAGAAAATGGAATATAAGCATCTGCATGTAGTCTCACTTGAAAAGCAAACAAGAAAATAAAAATAAGAATTAATTTATTCAACAAAAATTTGAGTACCTTCTATGTTCTAGACACTGGACTATGCTCTGGAGACTCAGTGATGATGGAAGGCACAGCCTCAGCCCTCAAAGAGGTCACTCTGTAGTTCATCTTTAGGAACACTCAAGGCTTCTTAATACTTATTTTGTGGCCAATAGTCTTTTCACAATGACTCTCGTACAAGCATGCAATCTGTATCATTAAACTATGTAAAGGCTCTTCTAATTCAGTCTATTTTTCTTTCAGGATACGTATAGCGGTTTGATGGGTCCTCTGATTATTTGCAGAGAAGGGGTATTGAATGAAAAGGGAAGAAGAAGCGATGTTGATTATGAATTTGCTCTCCTGTTTTTGATATTTAATGAGAATGAATCCTGGTATCTGGATGACAATATTAAGAAGTATCTCAATAAAGATCCACGAGATTTTAAGCACACTGACGATTTTGAAGAGAGCAACAAAATGCATGGTACACCAGAGGTTTAAAAAGAAACCCTTGCTGAGATAAACTCATAGAAATTCCTATAACTGTAGGAAGTCCCCAGCCTCCTTCTCTGAACCTTTCCCATTCCCAGGGGCACCTAGACTGAGGAAAGTCCTCCAAAACTTTCCTTCAGAGGGAATGAACTAAGCCATTGGTTGATTGCCAGCAAGGTCCAGTGAGACTCTGGACCAGTTGTTTAGGGAGCTCTGTCTCTGAAGGCTGGACTCCCTAAACTATAAGCCTATAAAGTAATTCTTAAAAAATGAATCATCACTTATTGGTGTATTTCTATAAGAATACACAATGACATCTAGCTAATCAAATTTAAGGGTGTGGTTTAACTGTTGCTGAGACATGAAGCACCATGATCAAGTTTCTGTTTTAAAGTGTCTATGTTATTTATTTAATTCTATGTAATTTAAAGTGTTTTTTTTTTTAATGTTTGTTTGTTTATTTATTTATTTATTTAGAGAGAGGGAGGGAGAGGGAGAGGGAAGGAGACAGAACGCAAGTGGAGGAGGGGCAGAGAGAGAGGGAGACAATCTGAAGCAGGTTCCAGGCTCTGAGCTGTCAGCACAGAACTCACGAACTGCATGACCTGAGCTGAAGTCAGATGCTTAACCAACTGAGCCACCCAGGTGCCCCAGTAGTTTCGTTGTTTTTTTTGTTTGTTTGTTTGTTTGTTTTTTAAGAGAGTAATATGTTGACACATCCACACTCTCTGTCCAAGATCTACCTCTGACCAAACGTATACAAAAAGAGGGCTGGCCTGAGATCACAAAATCAGTTCATTGATAACATTGATTAGAATATAGTAGGCTGATTTCTGATTCGGCTACTCTTTCTCCTATAGTTTTGCTTCCCTTTCCCCAAAATTTCTTAGTATGCTCTCTATTTTTAATAAATGTAACTCATTTGGTTGTGCCATGGTGCACAGAATAAAAAGTTAGTAGAAAGAGTGAGAGTTTCCATCATGTCAATCCAGCTTGAGTTTGCTTTGGTCATTGTTAGGTCATGGGCTCAGCCCATGTGAAGCTTTCCTTCTTTTGGAAATTCAGGTATTCTTAGGAACTTGCCCTAAACTCGTTCTCAGAAAGCGAAGTATTAAAGAAATGGCTCTTAATTCATTCAATTTTGATTTATATAAACTTGATTCTCTGTGCTTTAGTTCACTCATCTATAGACTGGTATAAGTAATGGCTGCCTCACAAATGAGCCTCTAACCCTCTCCATAAAGAGAATATGCCAAACAAACAAGCAACCAAACAGCACACGTTGCTACCCAAGACGTAGCTTTTAAAAATTAACTACTACTTCCCTTTTCTGTCTCTCTTCTATAAGAATTTCTTAGTAATCTGAGTTTTGGGTCTAGAATGGTGGGGACATGTTTATCAGGTAGATGAAAATATCGGTAACCTAAAGATCTTGAACCATTTCTAAAACCAGATTAAGTACTGACCGCTAATTGAAGGCTATTTTGTTTTTCACCTTCCTAGCTATCAATGGAAAGATTTTTGGGAATCTCCATGGTCTTATCATGAATGAAGATACAATGACAAACTGGTATCTGTTGGGACTAGGAAATGAAGTGGACATACATACCATCCATTATCATGCTGAGAGCTTTCTTTTCAAAGTGAGTATAAGGAATATGCTTTGGGGAAGACTTTTTGAACTAAAAGATTCAATTTTTCACTGTGAACAAAGAGAGTTATTTGGCACTAACGCTTGTGAGGTTCATATTAGAGATTGGAACAGAATAATGTGAGCCCGTCATTGGGTGAGCTCGAGCCCCACATTGGGTGAGCTCAAGGTAAGCAGGAGTCCTGCTTTGGGTAAGCTTGAGCTTCACTTCCCTTTCTCTCTCTAGCCCCCCTCCCCGCAATTTCTCTCTCTCTGCCCCTCGTGGGAGTCTCTCTGTCTCTCTGCCCCTTGCTCACCTGTGCCCCCCCACTCTCTCTCAAAAATAAACAAACACACAAATAAATAAGTAAGTAAGTTATCCCAAGTGCTTAGTGAAATCTATAAGGAAATAGAATAGAAAAGAATCATCACATCTAATCTGTGGAAGTAACTGCATTGGTCCTTTTCTAGTTATACAGGAAGGAATAAGTAGTATATTTAGTAAAACATCTATTTTTCCCCTCTGTATATTTATTTAACATAGTTTAAGATACCCAGTATTAGTCTACAGTGATTACAGTTTTACATCTTAACTGGCTATCCTGCTTTTCAGAATTTGGCCTTTTCAACTCACATGTTAAAAAATGTATGAAAATTTATAGAATTCAATAAAATTGTAAAAATTGTAAAAATTCAAAAAAATTGTAAAAATTTACAATAAAATTGTAAAAATTGTAAAAAAATGTAAAAATTATAGAATTCAATAAAATTGCAATTATTTTGTATTATGCCTGTAAACTTGTAAAATTCAGTGTAATTTACATTGAGTAAAAGTCCCTGTTTTGGAAAGCACATACAGTAGTGTCATCTTAAAATATAGGACGTCTCCATCACCCCCTAAAATGTTCGTGTTGCATTTTCTGGAGCCAGCTACTTCTGACTGATTTATTTCCATCTCTCTCGTTTTGCCTTCACGGAAATGTCACATAAATACCACCCATAGCACTTTGAATCTGGCCTGTCGCACTTGGCGTAGGCATTTGAACTGCATCCCTCTCGTGTGCATCAACACTGTGTTCTAGTTGATTGTCGAGTAGGAGTCCAGTGGATGAATACACTGCGGTTTGCTAATTCGTTTCCCTATTTAGGGACATTTGGGTCTTTTCTGCGTTGGGGTCATTACACGTAAAGTCGTTATAAATATTTGTGTACGTATCTTCCTGTGAACCTAAGGTTTCATTTCCCTTGAGAAAATACCTTGGAGTTGGATTGCTAGACCACGTGATACGTGTACACTTAACTTGATGAGAAACTGCCAAAATACTTCCACAGAGGCAGTGCCACTTTGCATTCCCACCAGAAAAGTATGGGAGCATCACCCGTGCCATATCCATGTCTGCACTTGGTGTCTTCCATTTTTATTCATTTTTTCTTCACCATCCTATTAAGTAAATAGTGGTATCTCATTGTGTTTTATTTACATTTTCCTAATGGCTAATGATATTGAGCATCTTTTCATGGGCTTATTTACCATCTGCCATCCGTAAACCTTCTTTGGTGAAGTGTCCACATTTTATGCCCATTTTTTAAATTTCATTGTTTGTTTCCTTATTGTTGAGTTTGAGGGATTTATACGTACACATACTTTACCCGCTATGCAATTGCAAATATTCGCTCCCAGTTGGTGGCTTATCTTTTCATTTCCTTAATGTTATCTTTCAAGGAACATAAATTATTATTTTTTAATGTTTATTTATTTTTGAGAGAGAGAGAAAGAGAGTGTAAGCAGAGGAGGGACAGAGAGAGAGAGGGAGACAGAATTAGAAGTAGGCTCCCAGTTGTCAGCACAGAGCCCGATGCGGGGCTCGAACTCACAAACCAACAGATCATGACCTGAGCCCAAGTTGGACGCTTAACCGACTGAGCCACCCAGGTGCCCCAAAGAACATAAATTCTTAATTCTGATGAAGTACAATTTATTTTTTTTCTTTTATGCATCATGCTTTTGGTGTCATATCTGAGAAGTCTTTGCTTAACTCAAGGTTACGAGGATTTTCTTCTAGCAGTTTTATAGTTTTAGGCTTTATATTTAGACCTCTGATCCATTTTAACGTTCATATACGGTCAAGGTTTAATTTTTGTATATGGATATCCAGTCATTCCATCACCATTCATTGAAAAGGCCACTGTGTCAAACTCGTATCGATTGTATATATGTGGGTGTGTTCGGGGACTGTCCATTCTGTTACATTGATCTACGTCTCTGTCCTTTCTTGAATACCACCCTGTCTTCATTACGTTAGTATGATAGCCAGTCTTGAAATCAGGTGGTGATTATTTTAGCTATTCTAGATCTTTGCCTTCCCATATAAATTTTAGAAACGGCCTATTGATTCCTATTAAAAAATCCCACTGCAATTTTGATTGGAATTGCATTGAATCTGTACATTGGCTTGAGAATTGATATCTTAACAATATTGAGTCTTCCAATTCGTGAACGTGGCATACCTCTCCATTTGTTTAGATCTTCTTTGATTTCTTTCTTCAGTGTTTTGTAGTTTCAGCATACAGATCTTGCACATATTTTGTTGGATTATTGCCTAATATCATAGGTTTTGGTGATAGTATAAGTGGTAGTGTCTTTATTTCAATTTTTAATTGCTCATTGCCAATATACAGAAATATAATTGATTTTTGTATAATCGACTTTGTATCCTACAACTTTGCTAAATAGTTCTAGTAGCTTTTTTGTAGATTTGGGGGTGATGGTTTCCTGCATAAACAATCTTCTTTTCTGTGAATAGAGATGGTTTTATTACTTTAGTTTCCATTTGTATACTTTTTATTTCTTTTCTTCCCTTATTGTACTGGCTAGGACCTCTAGGATAATGTTGCATATGATTAGTGATGGGGGGAAAGGATTCAGTCATTCATCATTAAATATAAAGTTATCTGTAGGGTTTTTTTTTTTTTTTTTCCAATAGATCCTATTAACAAGTGGACGAAGTTTCCTTCTAATCTTAGTTTGCTGATGGTTTTTATCATGAACAGATGGCAAATTCTATCAAATGCTTTTTCTGCATCTATTGAGATGGTCACATTTTTCTTCTTTAGTCTGTGAATTATTTTCTTTAGTGCATTGGTGATTTACATAGATTGATTTTCAAGTTTTGAAACAGTTTTCAATCTCAGGATTGTCATAATGCATTATCCTTTTTATATATTGTTGGATTCAAGTTGCTAGTGTTTTTTTTTTAAAGGATTTTACATTTATTTTCATGAAGAATATTGGTTGTAGCTTTCTCTTCTAGTAAAGTATTTGTATTATTTGGGTATCAGGGTAATGCTGGCCTCATAAAATTAGTTAGAAGTGATCTCTCCTCTTCTATTTTCTGGAAGAGTTTGTTTAGAATTGGTATTATTTCTGCTTTAAATGTTTGGCAGAATTTGCCAATGAAGCCATATGGACCTAGAATTTTAACTTGTTGGAAAGTCTTAATGTAATTTCAGTTTCTTTAACAGATAATCTGAATAGTGACGTGAGGCAGTTTTCATCTTAAGGAATTTGTTCATACCACCTAAGTTGTAGAATCACAGACAGTTATTCATAATATTCCTTTATTATCCTTTTTAATGTCCGTAAGGCCTTAGTGATGTCCCCCTCTTTCATTCCCAGTGTTTGTAATCTGTGGGCTTTTTTTTCTTGGTCTGTTTGTCTATGAGTTTGTATTCGTTTTTTATTCCTGTGTAACAAATTACTCCAAAACTTAGTGGCCTAAAACAGCAAACACTAACTCACAATTTTTCGGGTCGGAAATCTGGGAGGAGTTTAACTAGTTGGTTCTGATTCAGCAATTTCTCATGAGGCTGCAGTCAAGATGTCGGCTGGAGTTGCAGTCATCAGGTTTGACTGGGACTGGAGAACCCACTTCCAAATTCACTCACAGGGCTGTTGACTGACGGTTTCAGTTCCTCACCACGTGGCTATGGCACAGGAGCTGACTTCCCCCAGGCTGAGTGATCCAAGAGAAGGGAGCAAGACAGAGGGTCTAAATCTTTTGGAAGTAGAATGCCATCACTTCTGGCGCACACAGCTGGTCTCACAGACCGACTCTCACACACCGTAGAAGGGGACTACAGAGGTTATGAATATCAGGAGGCAGGGATCATTGGGGGCTGTTGTGGAGAATGGTTAACCACAAGGTTTATCACTCTTACTGACCTGTTCCAAGAACCAGCTTTTGCTTTCTTTGATTTACCTCTATTGTTTTTCTATTCTCAATTTTATTGCCCTCTGCTCTTATCTTTATTACCTTCTTTCCACAGATAGATAAATCTTACCGAGAAGATGTGTATGATCTCTTTCCTGGGACATTCCAAACCATTGAGCTGTTTGCAGATCACCCAGGGACATGGCTGTTACACTGTCATGTGTCTGACCACATCCACGCTGGCATGGAAACAACTTACACGGTCCTTCGGAACATAGGTACTGTTTTCTGTCAGTGATGATGGGTGATAGCACCGGGCTTCCTGTACGCCCTGAAAATGGGGGCACTAGACCCCCCAAGAGCTCAGAGTCAAGTAAGAGAAACAGACATATAAATAGTAACTATAAGGAGTGCCTGGGTGGTTCAGTCGGTTGAGCATCTGACTTCAGCTCAGGTCATGATCTCACAGATGGTGAGTTCCAGCCCCACCTCGGGCTCTGCACCAACAGCTCAGAGCCTGAAGCCTGCTTCGGATTCTGTGTCTCCTCTCTCTCTGCCCCTCCCCCGTTTGCACTCAGTCTGTCTGTCTGTCTCTCATAAATAAATGAATAAATAAATAAATAGTAACTATAATAGAATGCGATACATGCCAAAATAGAGTACGGAGGACAGGTTCAGTGGCAGCAGTAGGAGGTAATGGTTTATAGTTTGCGGGGGCATGAGCAAACATTCTAGAGACTATAATGCTTCAGCTGGGTCTTAATGGGTGGGCAGAAGCTTGAAAGGTAGATGGGGTAAGAACAGCATGTGCACTGGTGTGAAGTAGAAAAGGGAGAATTTCAGAAAGACTTGCGGATACAAATGGGATAAAATCCTCATTGGTACAATGAAATAACTCTTGAAATAACTCACGTCATGAAAAGAATCTGCTTCCGTTGTTTATAAAACAATCACCTTGTCTTCTTTGTGCAGACAACAGGATCCCTTACTCCACCAAGTCTCCGTCTGGAGCAGCGTCCACAGTGCCCCCCAACGGTAATGATACCCTCCCCGAATCCTGCATGTGAGTGGTCAGTGTTCATTCCCTGGGGAAAGGCAGAGGACTGACACCTCACCTCTTCTTGTTCACAGAAGAACCTGGCAAGGAGCAGCTCTATTTCTTTGGCAAGAATCTGGGTCCTAGGGGGGCCAAAGCAGCCTTGGTCATCCTCTTCGTCATTGGCCTCCTCCTCCTGGCCTCCACAGTGGTTCTCTCCCTCAGTCTGCACTCTGCAAGGAAGCGGGGTGTGTACCAGGAAGTCCAGTCCTGCGCACTCCCCACGGATGCTCTGTGACCCAGCTGGCCTTCCTCAGCAGGGAAACTGGACAAGATATCGTTCATCGAGAAAGGTTTACATTATTCCTGGATCAGGCTCTGATCGTCCGGAACACAAAGCAATTTGCTTTTACTTATTTATTTTTTAATGGGCTGTGAATAATCCTCAGGTATGAAAAACAGAAAGGAGAATACGTGTGACCGAGAAAACACACTCGGCCTGTTCTCTGAATGAATTTGCTGAAGTGGGGAAACCCTCTGAAAGGGATCTTTATTTTCCATTTCTCATAATTCTTAGATTAGACAGTGCTAACCATCCCAAGTTTCCAGAAGGACGACCTTGGGAAAAGAGTCATAAGTCCTCAGACATCTAACGGGAGTAGCACTGATTTTTCAACACTGTTATGTAAGATGCTTCTCTTAGTCGTTCCAGGGAAAATAACTTTCTGAGGAGTTCACGAAAATGTCTAACTCAGTATCTGCTGATAGAATTTGATCAGATGAAGTTTTGGGGAGGCTTTTTGCCGGCTCTCCTGGCCTTTTCCACTTGAATATAAACAGCCTGTGCAGTTTGCCACAGAAGGCAAAGGTATCAGCATTTAAAAAAATAATTGCTGCTGTTTTTATGCAAACCTATAGAGATACTTTAATGTTTACACCTCACTTACATGTTTTTACAATGTTTCCATTGCAACTTTTTTTTTTTTTTTCCAAAAATCATCTGGAGAATTTGTACTTATAGTTGAGAATGTGGAGGGCTGGAAGCTGTAAAATCACAGGCTAGGTTCTCCTGTGATGAGACAGAGACTCCCTAAAAGGTGACTGAGAGATTCTACGAGGGAGGGAAACTTTGCAGAAGGCGAGTCTTGACTTGAGCTCTGAGTCTGATTTTTCATTCACCTAGCAGGATCTTCCCATGTCTGCATCTTCTAGGAAATAAAAACAGCCTCATCATGTGAAAAACACCAGAAAGAATTCATCAGTGCAGCTGACTGGTTGCGAGAAGAGATCTTAAAACATTCTTGATTCCATGCCTCTTAAAGACATAGCCCTTTGTGGGAGGAGAAAACAAAAGAAAAAAAAAAGAAAAGAAAAGGCTAGAAAAAGAGAATACCAGTAGGAAGTTTGTAATCAGTAAATCAGCTTTGAAGATGTGCATTACAGTTTTCAGAAAGGCTCAAATGTACAATTAAAATATCAGCAGCTAAAGTCAACCCATTACAAGGCAATCCATACTCTCTGTACGCATGCCTAAACATTAGGTTAAGATTGATAAAAGCAACTTTGCTTATGACTAGACTGAGACATTGCCCTTAGCTCGAGGTGCCCTGCGATGCCAATGTCAATGCCAGATGAGTGATATCAGTATATCTGCTTTAGCAGATCATTTGGATGTCCAGGTGAATGAGCAGGACCTAAAAAAAATACTCTGGTGGCGGGATATTTCATACTTTCTCATCTTCATCTTGGTGAGGGGAAACGGGTAATTTGATAGAAGCTATAGTCTTATATCAAACAGGAGGCGAATGCTAGTAGTTGTTTGCTCGAATGTCATATCGAACAGCGTACCCAAAGGATTTTGAATTCCAGCCTGCTAACCACTGATAATGTGATTTTGTAGTACGTGCTCTACAGTTTTCATCTGTGTATAGGCTGTATACTTTCATAATAATAATTATGATACATGCCTTATTTATAACTCATCTAGACAACAAATTAGTTATTTTTTTCCTTTTCTCTTAGTCTATTTTTTTAAATGAAAATGAAACCACAGAGTAGTTTGATCATACATACCATTTCTCTTTTTAATAAAGTTTCCCAGATTATAAAACGGCTATTTGCATTTTTTTTTCACTAAGTACTACCAATCCCTGGACTTGGCATAGGAGATTGGTTAAAAGAGAACTATCTCTTAGATTTAGCAATTATCTTAGTTTTAGCAATTATCTTAGATTTAGCAATTATCTTAGTACATGCTAAAGGAAATGAAACAAAAATAACAATATATCTCCAGGAATAATAGGACTCCCCCCGCCCCCCAAACATTGTTACCTGAAATGTACCATACTTCTTTCTCTGCTGGGATCCTTTGAGAAAATCAGTTACATTTAGATACATCTCCTGTTACAATGCAGGACATGTCCTTGCTCCTGGCAGGGCCCCTCTCTCACTTGGCTCTGGACCTCACCATTCTTACTTGCTCAAGGACTTCATTCCCTCATATTTTGTTTTCTCTCTGAGAGGAAGTCGTCAACGGTACCCACCACTGAAAGTAGAAAACAGAGGGCTGTTGTCCTCAATTTCATAACCTAGTTTCTCTGTTCCCTCCGTAGCAGAACTTGCTACCTGTAACCACCTCACTTCCCGCTTTCCTCAACTTATTCCAGGGGCTTCCAATCCAGTGTGCCTTGCTCCCACATCCCAATATGCTGTTGTCAAAGCAACAACCATGATGCCATTTCCAGTGGCTTCTTCCCCATCTTTATTGCCCTCCACCTCTCCGCAACAGTCAGTCGACAGCTCCTTCCTTCTTAACACCCTCTGGTCCCTTGGCTCTTCAACATGAACCCCCACCAGGCTTCCTTCTTCAGTTGTTCTTCCTTCTCAGGCTCTTGCTAGTTCCTTCTCTCCCTTATAACTTAAGTGTTAGCATGCCTCAGGGCTGGACACTGGACCCTCTTCTCTCTTTCGCCCTCTAGGGTAGGCTGAATAATGTCCTCAAAGATTTTGTGTCCTAATCCCTGAACCTGTGTTGCCTTGTATGGCAAAAAGGACTTTGCAGGTATGAATAAGTTAAGGATTCTGAGACAGACTACCTAGATTGGCCATAAATAAAGTCACAGTGTCCTTCTAAAAGGGAAGCAGAGGGAGATTTGACTATAGAAGAAGGCAATGTGACAACTGGAGCAGGACACTATGCTGCTGGCATTGGAGACAGAGGAAGGGGCCACAAACCAACGAATGCTGCTCTAAAACCGGGGAAAGGCAAGGGAACACATTCTCCCCCAGAGCCTCCAGAGGGATCTTGGCCCTGCTGGCACCTTTTGTTCCAGTGAGCATGATTCTGGATTTAAGAGCTCCAGAACTCTTAGAGACTAAATGTGAGCCATCAAGTTTGTGGCAATTTGTTATAGCCTTCTCCATACCTTATTTTATGTATCTTCATGAATCTGAGAACCATCTTTATGCTAGAAAATTAAAAATGTGTTTGGGCTGCAGGCCACAAATCCTGCTCAAGCAGGATCACTGCGGCAGTCTCCTAACCAGCCTCTCCACTGTCACTCTTGTCCCTTCCAACCGCTCCAACAGCTGCAGTGGTGTTCTTCCAGATCTGATCATGTCACTTCCCTGGGGAATACCCTTTGGTGTCTTTCCATTTCACTTTTAATTATATCCAAACTCCTTACCTTGGTCTAAGGCCCAGCCTGATTCGGCCCGTGCCCACCTCTCCAACTTCATCTCCAACTCTTCCCTGATCTTTTATCAGGTCTTGTGCCCTGCTAGTTCTTTCCTGCCTCAGGACCTTTGCACAGGTTGCTTTCTATGCCTGGAATACTGTTCCATTCCCCTCCCTCTCTTTCCTAGCTCATCTGTGAGCTCCCCTGACTGCCCTCTCTAAAACAGATCTCTCCCCTTGTTATTTCCTATCTCCACTGTTTTCCACTGGAGCAGGGCTGGGGGCAGGGCAGGCGGGGAAGAAGATGCGTCATTCAACCCCAAAATGTACCTTACACTTAGAAACAAAGCAATGTCATCAAGACTAAGGAGCGTCTAAGAAACCGTCATAGCTAAGAGGAGCTAAGGAGACAAAGAAACATAATGTGGTATCCTAGATGGGATCCTACAACAGAAAAAGGATCCTAGGTAAACATTAAGGAGATACGAATAAACTAGATTTTCACTAATATTAACACATCATACTAATATGTTCACGGGAGGGGGAAGTGGATGCAGGAAGGAGTGGGAGTAGATGGGAACTCCCTGTACCATCTGCTCGATTTTTCTGTAAATCTAACGCTATTCTACAAATTAAAGTCTATTTT